GACAATAAGATATTGGATTTTCTACCATAATTTATACCTACAATGCCATGATACAGTTAAAGATCAGAATGGTGGACTTGTGACTTCTGTTGACTGGTTATAATACAGATGAGAACACTGGAGGTTGGAGAGGGATTGGAGAGAGTGAAAGTGGAAAACCTTGAGCCTAAGAAACTGTATTATAAACAATAAAGAATTAAAATGAAATTGAAAATAAATAAAATACCCACAAAACAAGCACGCAACAACAACAACAGTAACAACAAACTCTTGAACTGGGTAGTAAATATTTTTTAGTGAAATAGAAGTGCACTCTAATTCACAAGATCCGTATTTGTGGTGATAATATGAAATGTAAGGTGGCAATATATTAATAGTAATAATAATAATAATAATAATAAAAACCTTCATTTCTAGGGTTCAACTACAGACGTGCATGGTGTTAATTTTAGCAAAGGTCCTCAACTCCATTTTCAGTAGAATAAATCAAGCTGTGTCAATTTGATTTTCTTTTTAAAGTAGTTATCTATTTATTTATGAGAAGTTTCTATAGAGAAAAAAATGAATGACAGAGAAGTTTCCCATGCATTTTATATCCAAATATCCACAACCCAGGGTCTGGGTTGAAAAAGGTTGCATTTAATCAAGTTCTTTCATTTGGTGGTGGAAATCCAATCATGTTATGCATCACTTGCTTCCTGTCGGGTAACATATAACACATGTTGGCTTAGTGGACTAAGAGTCAAGTGGCTTCTGTCTGAAAGCAGTGGAACTGTTCTCAAGGAAATGTAAGCTTGATGAATTCCAAAGGAATCCTTTTGAATTTAAATTTTGGGGATGTGAGAATTTTTTCTAAATATATTTGTAAGAAATTATCACACCATAAAATACTTTTCGTTGATAAAACATATTCATGATGTAATCTAAAGCCTTCCTGATTTAATATGCCCCTCATTTCACTGCAGGCCTGATATCCTAGAAGTATGAGAATGGAAAGATCTGTCCTTCATCAAGGATTTTTTGTCCCCTTGTTCAAGTACAAACCATAGGAAGGATAGAAAGGATGGCATTTTTTAAATATAGAAGGGGAATGATAGAATCTGGAGGTGGATAACATGTCCAGGGCAATGTGATCATCTTTATTTAGAAATAAAGATAATTCTTACATGGAGGAATACTCCATTTTTCTTTTCAAGGTATCTATACACAAATAGTGTTAAATAATGACTGGAGAAAAGCAGATTTGTTGTGATAACATTTTATTTATGCAGCAAAGGATTTATAACCTATGTGCAGGCTACTTACATGGACTTCAACATATTATACCATCTAGTAATACAGTCTGTATCTAAAAGATAAAGCTTAGTACAGGCATAAATTAAAACAATTCTGAATTGAAAATGAAAGAGCAAAGGTATTAATGTCTGATAAATACAAGCTGGTACATCAACAGATTCAGATTTCAGAAATTCATTTGTGGAAGCACAAATGGCAAAAAAGATGTAAGGACACAAAGGGAGGATTGCAACTTTGAAAAAAGGGCAGATTTAAACATTTGGGGTTTTTTTTGTTTGTTTGGTTTTAGCATGTATATATGGAGAGAGAGAAAGAGAGAGAGAGAAAGAGAGTTTCTGCTCTTTATATGGGTAATGACACTGTTGGTATAGGCACTGGTACAAAATACGATATTTTGTTGTTTAAATATATGGAGAAGTTTCATTGGAAGTCTGCTAATTTTGTTCCATAGCAGAGATGCATTGTATCAAGTTTCTTTGATTCCTGTTTCCTGGGTTTGCTTTACATCCTCTATTTGTAAAATTACAAGTGTGTGCTTATTTTTATTATTAATTTTTAAATTTTGGATGGAGGTTGGTCTTGTATCAGAGCAAACATGTATTTGTCCTTTTGGAAATGGCTCATTTTCACTGAGAACAATGATCTCCAATGTGACCCATATTGCAGGAAGCCATGTAGTTGGGTCAAATGGCATTGGGTATGTGATGAGCACTGCTCCTCGGTTAGCGAGGCTGTGAGGACTTTCTGGCTGCATGGCAAGGCCTGGCAGAATATCTCTGGTCACCTCATTGCTCACCCCATTTTATGGACTCTCGATCAACTCTCTGATATTTCTAAAAGTCTCCTGAGGGTGTTGTTGTTCTTTTTCTGCACATGTGAAATGATTCCTGTAACTGGTATAACACCTCGAACTGATCAATCATGTTATGGGAGCAGCGTCTTTAGCAACTTACGGTAATGCCACTCAGCTAAAAGCATACAATAGTACATTGAGCTCACAATGTCCTGAAGCATCCTGTTATGTGCCCACCTTTGTCCTGGAGTTTGCTTAAGAAATGGCTTGATAATATCTTGGAACAGATGGCAATCATTGAGGTACAAAAAGTTTGTTTACCATGTGCCTCAGACTTACACAACACATGATATGACGCATTTTGGTTTCTCACATAGAGAACAGAAAGTATATAGGGCATCTTCTAAAAGGAGAAGGCAACTTTTCTGAGTTGTCCATTATGAGCATTGGGCCATAATGGTCAATGCCTCCTGTGCCTCTCCTTCTTTCTTCTTATCTCACCAAACCATGCATCCTTTGTAAGTTCTGGAGTCAGCCAGAGCTGATACCATATGATCGCAAACAGTAAAATTTCATTTTTTTAAATAGCTGATTAGTATTCCATAGAGTAGACATATGTTTTTATCCATTCCTCCTCCAATTGACATTTAGGTTGTTTCCGTGTTTTTGTGATTTTTGATTGTATTTCAATGAATACAGGGGTACAGGTTGTATTCTCATGTGGATGTATCAGTTCTTTTACATATATTCCGAGGAATAAGATTGTTGGGTCATATGGTAGGTGAATTTTCAGTTGCCTGGGTATTCTGCATAGCAACTTTCCCAGTGGCTACATCAGTTTACATTACCACAGCAATGCAGTAGGTTAGCTTTCTTCCCACATTCTCACCAGCAGGTGTGGATAGTTTTCTGTATGTAAGCCATTCTCACTGGGGTTAAGGGGAACCTAAATGTTGTTTTCATTTGAATTTTCTTTATTGTTAGGGAGCTTTAGCAGTTTTTCATATGTCTCTTAGCCATTTAAATTTGTTCATTTCAAAATGTCTACAAATTTGCTTCACCCATTTAACTAGTTTGTTTTGCTGTCATTGTGTTTCTGCAGTTCCTTGTATATCCTAGATATTATCTGTTGTGTAATGTGCAAAGATTTTCTCCCAATCTGTTGGTTGCATTTTTACTTCTTGATTTTTTCCTTTGCTGTACAGAAGCTTCATAGTTTGATTTAGGCCCGTTTGTTTATTTTGGTCTTCTATGACTGTGTTTTTTATGGTTTTTCAAGGAAGTTTTTACCTACCCGCATATCTTGTCAAGTATTTCCTATGTTTTCTTCCAAAACTTGGATGGTTTCTCAGTGTAGGTTTAGAGCCTTCATCCTTTTATTTTGATTTTAGTGAATGACGAAAGGTGAGGGTCTTCTTCTTACTTCTGCATGCAATTGTTCAATGGTCCCAACAGCACTTATTGTAGAAATCTACTTCTTCCTCTGGTTTGCTTTCTGTTCTCTTGTGAAATATTAGGCTGCTCTTCATATGGACTCAATTAGGTTGTTTCCATTTTCCATTTACCTTCCTCTCTTTTTATGCATCGGTGCTAGCTTTTTTTTTATATCCATCCTGGCTCCTGACTTGAATTAGCTCATCTTAGACCACTGCTGCCTTTTGAGAAGTGGATCACCAGTGGAAAGATTCCTCTCTTTGTCTCTACTTCTCTTTTTGTATATTTGCCATCTAAATAAATAAATAAATTTTAATAAAATGAAAGGTCCCTTGAGATTGTTCTCTCACATATTATATTATTTGTGTTGAAGAATGTTCCATGTGATATTCATAGTGCATATTCAGTAGTATTGGATGTAACCTTTTGTAGATGTCCATGAGGTCCAGTTGACCTAGAATAAAGTTGAACTCTGCTGTTTCATTTTCTTTTTGATGATCTTTCTCTGTCTAAAAGTGGGGTCATTGAATCTTTTGCTATTATTGCACTGAATCTTGTATTTCCTTTAGATAAAATTGGTTTGTGTATTTGGTTGTTCTAATAATTGGTGTTTGTGTGCTTTCAAATCTTCTTTCTGCTGAGTTGCACATTTTGTCATTATCATTGCCTCTTAATTTTTTAAAACTATTTTACATTTATTTCATTTACATTTATTTCATTTATTTTTGTTTTTATTAGAAAGTCAGATTTACAGAGAGAAGGGAGACACAGAAAAGATCTTGTGTCTGCTGGTTCACTCCCCAAGTGACTGCAAGGCTAGAGCCGAGCAAAACTAAAGCCAGAAGGCTGCAACTTCTGGGTCTCCTACACGGGTGTCGGGTCCCAAGTCAATGTTTTGTGTCCTGGCTACTCCACTTCTGATCTAGTTCTCTGTTTATGACCTAGAAAAACCACAGAAGACAACTCCATTCCTTGTAACCCTGTACCCACTTGGGAGACATGGAAGAGGTTCCTGGCTTCAGATTAGCTCATATCTAGACGTTCAGCTATTTAGGGAGTGAACCAGCGGATGGAAGAGTATGCCTTTTCTCCTTGACACTGTCTCACTCTTTTAAAACTTCCCTTCCAAATAAAATCTATCTGATGTCTGTCATGAGTGTTCTATGTGAACCAAAGCAAAATACACTTTGATTTACAGTATAATCTTTCTGAATGTTGGTTCTAGATGAGTTAAGTGGAAAACAGAGGACTTTTTTGGGGGGCATAAATGCTCTGTTTTTCTTACCCTTTTGCTTTCTTATTACTCAATAATATTTTAAGGCTGTAGAAATCACTAAACTTGCAATTGAGCAATTTTCAGTTACTGACTGTTCCCAGAAAAAAACCAAGTGTGGTGTCATGATGTTTACACAGAGATGATTAATTTGGTTAGCTGTTTTGCTTAGGACACACTCAGGTCAAAAGTCCTATTTCAAACTGCAGTTGGTATGGATGACACGAAGGTGTGGAGAGAACAGCTCCCCTGTTGGTAAGGCCGTGAGGAGACTCCAGCTATGTGACAAGCCCTGGCGGATGTCTCTCCGACCACTTCAATGCAGTTTCACCCCCATTTTTGCATGGACACTCAATCACCCCACCAAGAATTCTGTAATCTGTTGAGGCATTGTTGTCTGCCCCTGTGAGACGGCTTTTGCAACTGATGTGAGCTTGGGAGTTAATGGTATTGATGATGTCTTGGTGAGTGGGCCTTTCGCTACACACAGGAGTACAATAAGCCCATATGATTTCTGGACACGTTAGTTTGTGCCTACCAATTGCCCTTGAATCTTGCCCAGATGTGAAGTATGCCTTCTGGGAAATGGCTTGTTAAGAATCTTACAAACTAATGGAAGTGATGGGAGTATGTGTTGAAACTGCTACGGCAAAAAATATAGTAACTGTGACCCTAAAGGTCAGCTTGTCCTTGCAACTCTTTGGAGCACAGAAAATGCTGCTGTTTTAGCTGCTTTTATAATTTTTTGACTAGAAGAATTATAGGGTGATTTTGTTAATATCATAGAAATATATTTTTGATTATTATTTGTTTATGAGGTTGTAGGTCCTGCTTTTGTAGGGGGATTTGATATTTGAAACGTTTGTCTTGGATCTTTTTTTTTTTCTCTTTTGATGTATGTCTCCCATTAAGTGATAGATAAATTGTGGAAATAGAAATATAGTAGGAATGTATTACTAATTAGTAGGTAATCACATGTGACTTGGCATTGGAGTCCTTGCTGTCACCTAATGGCTACTACTAAAGAATGAATAATGGATTGCTTTGAAGAAACTGATTATAGTGACTTGTAGAATTATCTTAAAGAGCACCTGGTTGAAAATGAAATAAAATTAATTAAACATCTGTTCATGCCAACTTAGTTCTGAAGTTAAAGATAGTAAAATCAAACATTTGTGCAGAAGTTTGTGATGTGTGTAAGTAAGCAAAAAGGACAGCTTCTTGAGCTGTTACAAGAGGGCACCAAGTGACAGCGTTTGTGTCTTTTCTTTTCGCTGACTCCACACACCCTTTTCGAGCTCTGAGCTCGGCTGGAGCTGGCCTCCGGGACTTCTCTGAATATCCCATATAAAATTATTCCTCCTTACCCCATTCTCAACACTAAATTTTTAATTTTTTAAATCATTGTTAAGAATTATTAAATGATTAGTAAGGATGGAAGGAGGATTGCCCCCTACCCCCGAAACCAATTCTCTGGAGCAGGAGCAGGAAAATGAAAAGAAAAGAAGTGAAACTGAATAAACTGTAGTCTGCTGTCTGCTGTCTGTGACTGTGAGACCTGGGATCTGACGCTCCCAGGGGTGTGAATCCAGACTTTGTGGAACTTTGCATTCCAGAGTTGGGAGGGATTGGAGTTAGACAGATGCATGAAAAGAAATTCTTGGAGATAAAGGAACAGGTAAGTTCCCTCCCTTCCTTCCTAGGAAATTGATTGAGAAAAATGAGAAGGCTGCACCTGCATTTCCTGGGGAAGTTGTCTTGCATAAAACTCCAGTTCAGATTCTTATTGCTAATAAACCTAAATATGTCTGCCTGAGGGAGCTAAGAAAAGGTAGGAGGAAGCCTCACACCAGAGCAGGGAGCAGGAGAGGAGAATAGAGCTGGGGGAGGTGGGGGTGTGCAAGTTAGGAGAGGACGGTTAAAGATGGATGTCAAATATGAAATAGATAATGAGACAGTACCAGTGTGCTGGTTTGCAACCTAAATGTCCACAACAACTGGGCTGGACCAGGGAGTTAGGTGGAATGCCACATGTATCCCACATGGGACCAGGTGCCCCAAGTATTTTGTCCATCTTTAACTGCTTTATTGACTGAAGTAATATTTTCTCCCTTTAACTGTGCAAGATTCAGTGAAAGCTTTGTGGCAAAAATGAGCCTGAATTTTTTCAAGATTTATACATTTTTATTGGAAACTCACATTTACAGAGAGAGAAGGAGAGACAGAGAGAAAGAGCTTCTGTCTGCAGGTATGCTTCCAAGATGTGCATAATGGCTGGCTGGAGCTGAGACAATCTGAGGTCAGGGGTCATGAGTTTTTCCTGGGTCACCAAAGAAGGTGTAGGGTCCCAAGACCAATCTATACTACTTTCCCAGGCCTCAGACAGGCAACTGGAGGGAAGAGGAACAGCTGGGATACAAACCAACACCAATGTGGGACCCTGGTATGTGCAAGACGAAGACGTTAGCCACTAAGCTACAGAGCTGGGCATGAGCCTGAAAAATTGATGGCATGATCTTGCTGTTCAACTTTGGGGCAGCTTTACAGTATGTGCCATAAGTATTAGACTTGAGATGCATAGATTTTTCATGTATACTAATCTTACCCCTGAAAACATTGCCTGAAAAGAAGCTACAATGTCATTATAGAGGAAAATATTAACAGCATATCTTAATTGCTTATACAATTGTTGTATGTTGAGTTCATGGAAATTGAGACATGTAATTCTCTGCAATGAGTCTCTACATTGGATAATTCAATAGAATGAAAGGGATTTTCTGCTGTACTGTTATCCTTGGACTACTAACTTGTGAGACAAAAGACTACATACCTTAAATTTGAAGTTCCTGTATCCTTTTATGTAAGACATAGAAAATTTTCTCATGTTTGAAACATGTATTTATTTATTTGACATGCAGTATTATGGAGAGAAAAAAAGATACAAAGAGAGAAAGATATCTTCCATATGCTGGTTTATTTCCCAAATGGTGTTGGGATGGCCAAAGCCTTAAGCCAGGGAATTTATCTGAGTCTCCTGCATAATTGGTGGCCTTCCAGCTACTGAGACCCTCTTCTGCTACATTGTAGGATCATTAACAGTCAGTTGAATTGGAAGTGAATCACTAGGGACTTGAACTGGAACCCGTTTTGAGTGCCAGTCTTGCAAGACACTGCTTATCCTATTGTGCCAAAACACTGGCCATAAAAATTCTAATTTTGAAGACTTGTGGCAGCAGCTGGTTACTTTGTAGGGCAAAGTGGAATGGAGTGGTTGAGATTTATTTATTTACTTATAATTTCATTGGAAGGGTTGATCAGATTTATAGAGAAACAGCATGAAAGATCTTCCATTCAATGAGTCACTCTACAGAAGTCTACAATAACTGAAGATGAAGTGGTCTGAAGTCAGTGGCCAGGAGAGTCCTCTGGGCCTCCCAAGTGGGTTCAAGGTTTGAAGACTTTGGGCCATCCTCCCCTGCTTTACCAGGCCATAAACATGAAGCTGAATGGGGAGTAGAGAAGCCAGGACACGAATTGATGCCTGTATGAAATTCCAGTGTTTGCAAGGTGAGGATTTATTCATTGAGCCATCACACAGGTCCAGGAACGGAGTTGTTTTAGATTAGCAGTGATTACTCAGTCTTGGTAAATTTGTGAGTGCCCCCACACTGGCTGGTGTCAAGAATAGAATTTAGGGCGGAAGAGAAGATGGCCGACGTAGGAGGAAGGCTGTGAGGGAGTCTCCAGTGAAAGAGGGATAGAAAGTCACAGAAGCAGCAAAGAGGAACAGCAGGGAATCGCAGGGAGAGGTCCGTGAGGCTCCCTGGGACAGTGTGGAGCCAAAAAGATCCACACAACTCGGAAGAACAGCGAGAACGGAGCAGGGCAAAGGTAGAGAAACCGACATCCCACTCCAGACCTGCTGAGTCACTTTTGAAAACGGCCTGACGGGAGACGCGGACAGCCCGGAGGCGGGGAGATCGGGCGGATCGTCGCCGGCGGGAGGCCTTCGGCAGCGGTGGAGGCAGACTGCAGCGGCCGAACGTTTGGTGAGCCGGGGGGTTGACGTGGCAGCCTCCGCATTCCTAGACCCCTGCCGAGGTTTTAGCCTCTGAGAACGCGGGGCAGACGGACTGAAACTGTTGGGTTTGTGCCTTGGGAACTGCGTGCAGTGGTGTTGGTGGCTGAGGGGGCCCCGGGGGGGCGCCTCGGGTGTTCCTACACTGGGGGGGCCAGTGCGTCTCGGTGCGCAGAGGCTGCTGGCGAGGATCTGGAGTCCTCCACATCCTGCCTGGTGGAAGTGAGATAACATCAGGAAGACCCTGGTCGCCACGCCGAGCGGCTGCGCCGAGCGGACTAGGCGGCCCCGCCTGCAGCAGCCGCCTCCACAGCGCAGGTGTCAGGTGTCAGAAGAGCTCTGCCCAGCTTTGGGAAGTGTAGTGCTGTGTGTCCCCGACACGCAGGTACCACTCCCATAGGGTGAACTGCTCACCTCTCGCCTCCCACCCTGCAGTTCTGAGCGTGGGCGACCCACCAGGAGAGCACTGAAAACTCCTGCATCACACTGACACGGTGCGAACCTGCCGTGAAATTATAACAGGGCGCCTGGGCCACTCCTCCGCTAAGGGCCGGTGTGAGAGAGCCACACAGGAACAGGGGCTCTGAACATCCACACACCACGAGTGGTGGATTCACTGCACAAGAGCCACGCCTGGAAAGTGCCTCACCCACAGTCCCGTGTGTGGGAGACGCACCAGGTGGGCTCTGAAAAACCTTGCAGTCCCTGACACGGAGAACGCAAGGAGAAAGCACATAAAACCTTCTAAGTCCTGCGGATTCCCGTGCAGGGGGCACACCCAGAGAGCGCCTCCATCCCTCCACGCCCTGGGGTGTCACACCTGTAGAAGAGGTGCCCAGAGTGTGCCTGGAATCCACTGGGCCCCCAAGGTGGTGCTCTACAGCCCCGGGGCCTGAGAACGCACCAACGGTGCCTTGAAAATTACCACGCTCGACAACACCACGTCTGCAGGCTCCAATCTCTACAGGAAAGCATCTGACAGCCCCTCAACACACGGGTTCATTTGCCCCACCAGAATTCACCAACGCAATGGGAAAAACCACCAGAAAGAGCTGTGCTCCAGATGAAAGAGCCAGCACCCCACCAAACATGGGCCAAAAGCCATTATCAATATCGGCGATGCGAGATGAAGACATGGACGTGTTACCAGCAAAGGAATTGATGAAAATAATGCTAAAATTTCTCAGAGACGTGGACACAAAGCTGGAAGACTACCAGAACCGCATAATCACCGAAATACAACAAATCAAAACCAAACTGGATGCCCAAGAGAATAAAATTGAAAGCCTCATCAACAGAATAAATGCGGCAGAGGAAAGGATCTCTGAAACAGAAGACACACAAAATGAAAGTGCCCAGCGAATTAAACAGCTGGAGACAAACCTC